GGCATGGTGACCAGTTGAACATTGAGGGGGAGCCGGCTGGACCAGGGTTAGTGAATTGCACGACGGCGGGCCGAAGGGCGGAGTGAGTTGGCAGCCAAAGAGATGTCGGGGCGGAAGGAAGGTAATGAGGGAATCGACAGAATGAATGGGTGACGCGCGGCGAACCCTACCACGCAGCAGGCTGGATAAAAGCTGATCCCCTGCGTTTAAGTGTTGCTACGCCGGCATGTTGACCCCGTATTCGGTGCGGGCATGCCTTGTGGTGACGGAGGGGAGCGGACGGGGGGCGCTAAAAAAGAAGAAGGAAGGAACGTGGTGGAAATGAAGTCGCACTCGCCCCTACATGGCAACATCAGAGTCGCCAGCAGCGGGCAGCATGGGGCGCTCGAGAGAGGAGGTCGGAGCGGGGCCAGCGTTCCGGAAAGCGGTGCGTTTGGGGCACTGGTCGGAGTCGGCGTGGTGGAGACCACGGCAGTTCATGCAGCGTGCGTGAGCGCAAGGGTCTGAGGCGGCGCGATTCTCCTTCGCGCACATGGCGCACCGAGCGCGGTGCACCAATTCGAGATGGCGGCCGGCGCACACACAGCACCGGGGTGGCTTCGTACAGCCTGCAGAGAGGTGGCTGAGGCCCCAGCACCTCGTACACTGCCGGAGGCGTGGCTTATCACGCCAGCGCGACGTGGTGACGGGAGTACCGAAAGCGAAGAGGGGGGTCTGAAGGAGGGCAGTGAGGACGGAGCCATCCGGGTCTTCGAATCCGAGGACCACGGACGAGCGAGCACCGTCGATTTGCTCAGGTCGACGTGCCCAGCGCGGAGGTTGGGTGATGCGGAGGCGCGCAAGCGCAGGGTTCTTCACGAGCTCGGTCGACAGAGTCGACGTCGAGTGGACAGCATCGCCTGGAGCTGTCCTGGTGCTGACATTGCCTATGAGGATCCGAGACCACTTGACGTCCCTGGAGACGTGTTGTGTCGGGTCGAGCTTGAGGGCAGCACGAAGGGTCGGGAGGTGTTCGTCAATGCGACGGTATGAGGTGGTAGCGGGAAAAGCCAGGACGATGTTGCCAGAGGAGCTCGGGTAGGCCGCGAGTGCAGCCAGTCCTCCAGCAGTCGGTATCGCAGCCAGTGCTGCGTTAACCACGCTGACAAGTTGGGCGGGGGGCGTCTGAAGCAGGTGTGCCGGCGCGGAGCCAGCAAAGCGAACCACATACCTCAAGGGCTCGGGGGTGTGCTTGGGTCTGTGAGCCTTCGGGGGAGCGGGTGGGTTCGGAGTCGTCACGGGAGGAGCCGGACGAGAAGGGGCGGCTGCCGCCGCGTACGAGCGCTTTTTGGGAGTGCCACGTACCTGAGGTTTGGGAGGAGGGGGAGCCTTCGCCTGCGGCGGGGGGGCCGCAGTCGCCATTCGAGTCTCCAAGGCATCGAGCCTGGCATCGAGGGCGGAGCGAAGGTCCTGGAGGGCCGCGGTGAGGTCGGGTCCAGTGGTCGGAGGGGGGGATAGGACAGGGGTGGGTGCTGGTCGATGGTGTGAGTTGAAGAAGGGGGGGTGGTACTTGTCCACGACAGCTCTAAGACGCTGTTTATGGAGATCGTCCAGGGCAGTGTTGTTTCGGTTCAACAGCTCGGCACGGCCGACGACTTGAAGCACTGCCTGATGAATCGCAAAGGCGGCATCGATCACAGAGTCGATGTCAGTGAGCAGCTCAGAGGGTCCCTGAACCTGCCATTGCCGTAAGGCCTGTCGGACAGCTAGTGTAAGTTTGGGGGTGTAGTCTGTGTGCACGAGTTCCGTTGACGAGGAGGACGAGCCCCCGGCGCTAGCGGAAGGAGATGGTGGTTGCGGTTCAAGATCCATGGTAGCGCATCTTCCGTTCACCCTATTTATCACTTCCGAGGATCAGTCGTCAGTGTGCAATGTGCATAGAAATGTTTTACTTCGACTAGGAGTAATGGCAGCACTCGATTCACCGCAATGCCCTGTTGGCAGTCAATCGAGCGGTATAGGACACATCAGCGGCCTGGTAGCGGTGACTGAGGCTCAACGTGAAGCTCTGGCATACTTTTGCATACTATTAGTCGGATAGGTGTGAAAGCATACGTACGCAACAGCTCACGATGTCTCACCTCTTGTGTAATTTGGCACCTTTAATGTGCTGATGCGTTTCGACTCGAGTCCGGGTATTCGAACAACTTGCAACCGGCACATGTGGCTGTTGTACCCTGCGCTGCGACTGCCACTGGGGCGTTAAGCGACTTTACACTTCGGGGACCGCCAGACGATTCCTCAACTTGGTACGATTACGTTGTTATTCATCGACCGTCGAGTCGCTACTGGTACGTCAGTAAATTCCGGAACCAGTCTCGCTTATTTGCGAAGTCGTTGCGACTGAGTAATGATCAGGTGTGAAGTGCCGCATCGCAACAAGCTCTTCAGGTGAGCGTTTGTGTCCGAGCCCATGGGATGACTCACACTGATTTCCTTCTTTCCCGTACAATACCATGCGCCTATCATACAAACGCGCGGCTCGCGAAATCGCCTCGAACTTGGGCGCTAGCCGTAACTGTCGGCCACTCACGCATTTTCAGTGGGCCCGGTGAGAGCCCAGCTTACCATGCCACCTCGGCGTTCGCAGACCACACCTTTGGCGAACAGCAGCAACCTCAATGATGCCCTTGGCTATCTCGAGTCTGTTAGGGCCGCACTCCACCAAGAGCCGAAGACTTATAGCCGATTCGCCATAATCATGATGGAATTCAAAAGCAAACGGTGCGTCGATACTGAATCACTACTTTTCTCGAACACTTTGGTTTATTTACTGACCAACACTTCTTGTATATAGCATGCCAGTGTCTGAGGTCATGCAGCAAGTTGCTGATCTGTTCCGCGATCAGCGGGCCCTCGTCGAAGGATTCAACATTTTTCTCCCTGAGGGCTATCACATCAACTATGCTCCAGGCGCTTCCATACCTACCATTACAGCGCCTCAGAGCAAGCCCACTGGTTGTCATCCTCGTTCTATGTCGCTGCCTGCTGATCGTGGTTTGAACCCGGCACTTGAATTTGTTCAACGAGTGCGAACTCGGTACGCGCGGCAGCCGCATAAACACGAGCAATTCATGAAGCTGTTGTATAACAAGTCCCAGAACGAACGACAGGGAGCACAGCAAGCTATCGAGAATGATCTGGTCCATCGCATGCAACAGCTTTTGAGCGACGCACCAGACTTGGTGCAGGAGTTCCAGAGGCTATCGATGGAGCTCAATCCTCCACTGGGTAGCCCTGTTGTCGTCCTTCCATCAGCAGTTTCAACAGCTACATCGGACGCTACTACTTTCTCGCACGCGGCTTCCGGCAGTGAAGCAGCAGTGATGGTGCCACAGAAGAGGAGGATTGCTGGAGATGAAGATAGCTGCGGGCATTTTGGACCTCTCCCCAAGAAGGTGAGGGTTCAACATACTGTATGCGTACAACAAATGAACGTTCAATAGGTAACGAGAAGAAAGCTGCAGGACTCGTCCTCTTCAGATGAACCCGCAGGTTCTTCAAATCGCCCCACGAGATCCGGGACCCCACAAGCGCCCAAGATTGAATCCGCATTGACTCTAATCAAACAATCACCGAATTCTGCAGGCACTGACGGCCAGCGATTCTTTGACAGAGTGAAACATGCCCTCGACCATCGCGAAACTTACAACGAGTTCTTGAAGCTCATCAACTTGTTCAATCAGGATTTGATTGACACAGCGCGACTCATACGAGAAAGTCGTTCATTCCTTGGGGAGGGTGAGCTGATGGCGCAGTTCAGAGGCTTTGTGGGGTGGGACGAGTCGACGGAGGATGCGGTCTCGATAGAGCACGTGTGGCTGAAACCGAGAGCTGCCCTGGATCGACCGAGTACGAATCAGCTTAATATCCGCTATGGGAGCTATCGCAGGTTGCCTGATGACGTAGGACGCTCTACCTCTATCCATCACAATGCTGATTGCGTTCTTTGCAGGAGATCAACGTCACATGCTCGGGACGCGATGAACTTGCAAAGTCAGTCTTGAATGACGAGTGGGTATCCCAGCCCACGTATGCGAGCGAGGATACGTTCTTTCAGGCTCACAAGAAAAATATCTACGAAGAGGCGCTCCATAGGACCGAAGAGGAGCGTCATGAGTATGACTTCTACCTCGAGGGTCTCCATCGCACCATCAAGGTCCTGGAGTCAATCGACCTTCAGATATCGCAAATGAACGAGACGCAGCTTGCCTCATTCACATTGGGGCCCAATCTTGGCGGCAAAGGGAAGGGCATACACGTCCGTGTGCTCAAAAAGATCTACGGACGTGAGACTGGTCTCGAGGTCTGGCAAGAAATTCATGATGACCCGATACACGCAATTCCTGTCGTGCTCTCACGACTGAGAAGTAGAGTGGATGTGTGGAAGCAGGCGTTTGGCGAGTGGGATAAGATCTGGCGGGAGCTTGATGCACGCAACTTCTACAAATCCTTGGACCATCAGGCCATCGAATGGAGGGCGACTGAGAAAAAGAATCTCACTGCACGAGCGTTCGTTACTCAGGTCGAAGCGGCCAGAGACGAACAGATGGCTAAACGTGCATCTCTGATCGATCCCCTCTTCTCACGAACGAGGCCTCGATATCAACTAGAATTCAATGTCGAAGACATGACGGTGATGCAGGATGCCTTGTCTCTAACGATGTCATCGATAGACACCTTGCAAGGACATATCACCGCAGTAGAAAGGAGAGAGATCGAGATGTTCCTGCGGACGTTCATACCGGTGTTCTTCGTGCAAGACACAGAGTCTTTTGACAAACCTTTCTCTGATCGCGATCAGTCCGCGGGCTGCGATGTCGAGTCAGTTTCTTCCTCTACGTCGGCGGCTGTCGCGAGCACCTCGAGAGTCGGGCGCGGCGGTCGAAGAGGAGGGGCGAACGGGACATCGGGCGCATTGCGGAAAACACTCCTCAAGAACGAACAGGCGAAGACCAGCCGCAGGGGTCGTGGACGCAAGGTAGCTTCCGCGGCGGGTTCGAGATTGCCTTCACCGACGAGCTCGGACGTGCCAGATATTGACGTGGAAGCAAGTGGCTCGTCCGCGCCGATCTTGTTTAATATTACGTTTACAAAGGCCAACTCTCGCCGTCGGTATAGCTTCTTCACGAATACCACGTTTTATGTAATCATCCGCCTTCTCGAGGTTAGACCATCTCTTATACGAATCTTGCAGAGTTCTAACGTTTTCCGTAGCTCCTCTATTCTCGATTGCGTAAATTCAAGGATTTATCTGTCAAGCTTGTTAAGCAACCTCTTACTCGGCGTCAACGCAATGCACTCCCATTTTCCCTGCGCGATCCGGATAAGGAGGAGGACGACCTAGATGTTGTCGCTGCCAAATTCTACAACCTGCTTCTCGAGTCTTGCCGAAGTTTCATCTCGGGCGATCTGGAGCAGCACGCATTTGAGGACAGGATACGCTCGGTCTTTGGAGTGATGGTACGTTGTAGGCTCTGGCCCAAATAACTGGCTGATTGCTCGCCGCAGGACGCATATCAACTATTCACTGTTGATAGAGTGACTGCAGCTATTATTAGACAGGTATGTCACCTGAACTAGCGACCTACACCGGCCACCATAAGACTGTGTTGTCGGATTTAGGTTCAGGCAGCGACCATGGACTCGAAGAGTCGCGAACTATTCGAGTTCCTCAAGCGAGAGCGCGAGATTGCAGCACCTACCACACAGGATCAGATAAACTGGCGACGTAATGCGGAGCGTGTTCTTGGTCCTGACGAGAACCTGTTTCGGATTGACTGGGTAAGCTTCTGGTGCTAAACAAGATGTCGAGGGCTATGACACCTATACATCCTGCGTTTAGTTGCCCGAGAGCAGGACAATCACGGTACAATTGTTCGGCAAAGATGACTCCAGCTTTGATGACTCGGAAGTACTTACTGGACGCTGGCAAGCCTACATTGCATCGTTCGTCTCGGTAAGTTTTACCTTTCGGTTAGATCTATCAAATATTTGTAATATATCCATCTTTGATTCACTCAGGAGGGACCTACCCAAGGAATCCCCACTTTACCTGCTTCAAGGCGACCATTCTTGCGCCGGTCAGCATTTCCCTTTCGTGTGCACTTTGACTAGGTTTAAAATATGCGGCAGAGTACTTTCGATGCATAGACCAGAGGAGGGACAGCCCGATGTATATGCTTATGGTCGTCTTCAGATTAAGGTATGCGTGCGTACGTATCGCCTCTTCTACGTCCCACATTCGGAGGAATCCCTTTGGCGCTCAAGGAGCAAGCGAGACCACGAGAAATTTGCAGAGGCATTGAGGAACAAAAAGGCGAAGAGAGAATTGTGGCTGGAGAAATTTACCACCACCTCTCAACTTCCGTCCGTGCCTGAAAATCCGACCGGATCTTCCACCAACGCCAATGACAGCCCCGACATGCCTTTGGCTGATGAGGCAGTCATGGACGATATCCCCGAGAGCGAAGAAAATAATTGCCACGAAACGGCCGTGCCAATGCTCTTATTACGTACACATGGACCGCTTGAGCAAATCGATTGCCAGTCTGGTATGATTTTACTTCGCAGAAAGGTGCTCACTCACTCTGTGTACAGAACCTGTCCTCAACGACAATCAAGTGTCACGTTCTGAATGCGGGGACATCGATGTCAAGCCTTTAGCATTGCAGCGCGCATCATCGGCTGCATTGACAATCGGTGCTAGTCAGCTCTCGGCCAAGGAAGGGTCATCTCGCCTTATGTTGACCGCGGTGATTGAGGGTAAGTCAATTGTCAGCTCAGGTCCTCCTCAGCCCCAACGGAAAATAGGGATCTCTTGAGAATGGATAAATGGTTGAATCCCGCTGTCTTGCTCCGGCTACGGCAGAGCATGCTTCTCCCAGTGACGCAAGCAGCATTGTTGTGTTGAACCTCCAAGGAGGGGAACATCCCTTCCTAAACCTTGCTTTCCTTCCATCGGCAGAGCTGTCTGCATCAGAGCCGTTTTGGCTCCTTATTGTGGTGCTGATGCCGAAGCTGCGCGATTTGCTGATAATGACGGAAAAGCGCATAAAATCAGCACGAAAATGACGCAAAAAGTGGAGCTATCAGACCTCTCTTCATCCACAGCGGGGCCTTCTCATAGAGAATGCTAATCTGTCCAACCACTCGCAAAGAATCAGATTAACTGAGAAACGGCTTGTAGGCGGTTCAGATGCCCAATCCGCATCGGAGCATGCGAGAAGCGACTATTTTCGAAAACAGGACTCAAATCTCACCTGTGAGTGTTTCCGCATGCTGTTCTTCATTGTCTAATGGGATCATCTCCTGCGAATAGCTGTGAAGGAGCCTTTCGTTCTCGTACATTGAAGGATACGCGATAATGAGACTTTCAGGTGAATTATAAAAGATGAAACCAGCTCCGACGAATCCTGGAACACCTTTTCAAGCTCACTTGGAGACCTCAATCGGATGAGTTCTGGGCTAAGTTGCAGCCAGAGCTTTGTACCACTGACAGCATAATGATTTCATCGGAGTCGCTTGTGGGGGGACGAGACTGTAGATGTTGCACGTCTGCTGGAGAGGGGTAAGTAGTTGGTGGGGAGCCATTGTGGCCCTGTTAGTATCAGCCGCCCTTGTTCGTTCTTCGATTCCATAGGACTCTTCGCATTAATGTCATATTCTCGGAAGAGCTCCTCGAGTGCGGCAGGGGGCGCATGCCTTGTGATGGATATCGTGTCCATTCTTAGGGAACCTCTAATGACTCACCGAAATGGACGAACAAAATTTCCCCGCTTCAAGCGCATAATCGACTTCGAATGCCCATTAATTCGTCCTCATGCTTGCATAACGCTACTGTGGCCGGTACGATCCATGAAAATAGTGGATATACAGGAATGCGAGTAATTACAAGGACGAAACGTCAAGGTATGAAGAACACGAGTCCACCCGATATACACAACCAAACCAGGTTCCTATCAACCCCTCATCCAGGTCATCCAGGCAGATGCAGATCAACTCGGAGACGTGGCATTGCCGTTCCGCGCAGTCGTCTTTCCCGCAATTGATTCTGCCAGCTTGATCAACTCCGGATCCTGTATCGGGACGTTGGAGTCCGTCACCTCCTTGATGAGTGACATCGTGCTCTCAATACTTCTCCGACGGGTACTCGGGCTCGTCATGGTCGTACCAAGACTAGCTTGACGGCCATGGCCGCGTCTGAATGGCGTCGCTGGTGACGAGGGCACAGGGGATATCGGGGATGGAGGTGTCTCCTCGCTCGGGCCACTGACGGGCGAAGCTGTGCCTGCCGTACCGCTCGAGATCACCTGCTCGAGAGCCTCTGCCACTCCGTTCGCAGGCGGTGGCGACGCGGGGTGACCATCTGGAGTCGACGGGCCTGAAGAGAGGATCGCCCTGCCTTCCTCAGACTCCGCATCATACAGGTCTGGAGGCAGACGCTCATTCTCAATATCAGATTTCCGGCTGTGCAACGGTTCAGAGCCATGCCACACAGATGAGGAGTGGATTCACGTACGCGTCCTCGAAGCCAGAAATGGCATCCTTAATGCCTTCCGCACCCAGTGCCAAAGTACCGTATGGCAGCTTGCCGTTGCCAGTGATACTCTTAAGTTCTGAAACCCTCTCGGACTCCTCGCTGCATCAGTGCATCAGCAGTGTGAAAGCAATGATACCTTGTACAACTAACCGCAGTAAAGCGAAGACTCTTGCCATCCGTCCGACAGCAAGAATCTTGTTTTTGATGACTTTCCGCCGCTCATGTGAGTCCTCCGCTGTCGGCTGAGGAACCTCGGCAACAGGCATCGTAGGCGATACCAAGAGGCCTTCATCATCCGAGCTCTCCTCAAGCTCCTCCTTTGTGCAGCAATTGAGCATGGCAAGTAACATGTCCGTGACTGAATCCCCTCATGAGCATGGAAGGATTCGCGTAACCAATACAAGCTCACTTTTCTCGCCAACGAAGGGTAGACTCCACGTAAATGCGTCCATGAAATTCGGCAGCCAATACGGATGGGGAGTGGCATTAAATTGGCGGATGTTCAGCACGTTGCTCTCATACTTCAAAATGGCAGCCTTATTGTTGTAGACGTCGAGGTAGTTGGGGGCGGAGAAGAGCGTCATGACGGATGGGAAGCCAGTGGTTCTTGTTTTTCGATACATACGATAGCTACGAATAAATAGTCAAAAAGGGAGGGCTGCATACGAATGAGAGGATGTACCCAGCATCCTGCGCTTCATGAGCTCGAATAATGGAGAGCAGCTTGTTCCGCTCAAGAAATTGGCAAGCTGCTTGGTATCTGAACCGATGGACAAGTGAGTAAGGCCGGTGGTGGCATCGTGCACGTAGCACTATAGCCACTCACGTGAAGAAGTACGAACAGCCTCGTACATGGTTATGCACGAAGCCATCGTTCGTTTTCTCCTGCCCAAAGTCTTCTACAGGATCAGACCATAGAATATCGCACATCAGACCCTGCGTAGGAGGCTCGCGGAAACGGTCGATCTGTAAATTCAAAGTGAGGATGAATCAGTGGACTTCAGTGACGCCATAGTGGAGTGGATTACATTGCGGATGTCATCAAGAGTCTGCAACTCTGGTGACAGACCGCCATGAATGCAGAAGAACTGCTTGTTCATTATGGCGGCGAGAGGCAGAGCGCAGAACGATTGCATGCAAGCATCGTACAGGCGCTCCGAGTACTTGCGTTTGCCTGTGAGATGTCAGCACGAGCGCTCTAAAGCATTAGAAACACGCATACACTCAAGCTTGAAGGTGAAGTAGTCGGTCAAGTGCCGACATTCATGGTTACCGCGGAGGAGGAAAAGGGTATCTGGGTACCATATTTTGAGGGACCATAAGTATAGTACACACTACACAGCACTGTCAGCTGGCGTCTATCCGGTGGAAGGAGGGACGACATACCTCAATGCTGAAGTATCCTCTGTCGACGTAGTCCCCGAGAAAGAGGTATCGTGTGTTCGCTGGACTGCCGCCAATTTCGAATAGTTTCATTAAGTCATACTAGCGAGCGTCAGGACCAACAGACTGCGACGAGCAAGTTCCCGGGAATCCCGATCACTCACGTATTGCCCATGTATATCACCGCAGACTGCCAGTGAAAAGCAAAGCATGGCCATACGGTCAGCATCCGGTACTAACACCGCATATTGCAAATACTGCATACCAGTCACTGGGGCGTCGACATATAACAAGTTGGGCTCAGCATGCAGCAACTCTGTTCCCTTCTCCAGAATGTATAGGGCATGCTCCTCCGAAATTCGGCCTTCGCGATAGAAATGATTCTTGAGGAACGCGACATCAGGCTTCGTCGGATCTTCACGCGAGAAGAATTGTGCGTCTGTTGGGATGGACATTGCAGGTGCCTGCACCTGGAAGAGGATGCGTTATGTCAGTCGACAGCATGGAAGAGTGTAGACCAGCCGAGGAAACTGACCTCCTTCACGACCCGCTCCTGCGTACTAATGGTGAAGCCATTCTCAAGATGATGCTGAGTGAAGTCGATCTCTGGAAGTGGTTGCTTGTCTTGGATCTGGCTTATAGCCCGCTCCACCTGTGCTCGAGTGCCGCTCATTGTGATGGAAGTGCAGGGAGTCGGCGGTCGAGAGAGAAAGCAGGTATATGGAGGTGATAGTTTATGAGAGCTTGTGCCAGATGCGCGACGGCGACGCGGGCCCTTTGGTCGGGGTTTGAATTGTAACAGAATTGCTGAAGTCTCTTGATATCGGTGTTTCAACGCGACGTAATAACTTGTGACGGGCCATACGAGGCTATACAAACAGTGCTTTGTGGCACCGCAATTTCCAGGCAGGCACAGCACACTGACACTGACATCTATACCATATAGTATGAGAGTCCACGAGTTCATTATTTACTTGATTATGAACCGAAGTACATTGAGAGGACGTGCTGCGCTACGTTAAAGCCGAGCAGGGAAACAATGTACCCTGTGAAGAGCGGAAGAAGAGGCGCCAGCAGCAATTCGGAACGAACCAGGAATGGAAGAGCTGTACCGATCAGGGACCGTCAGAAATGTAAAGCGGATGTAAAAAGAGGAAGTACCGTTGAGACCGAGGTAGACTCCGTAGAAGTATTGTGCGAAGCTGCCGAGGAGGAATTAGAGTAACATCCGCTGAGATGTAACAGATGCATACGCAGCCAGATACAAGGTGTTCGAAACAAAGAGACATATCCAGTTGCTCCTGAGGACAATTGGGACCAGAAAAAACTGCGCAAGATACAGGGTCAGGTAGAACGGGAAAAACGCGTTTGTATGGACGTCGAAAGCATAGGCCCATTCTACTCTTGAATCTGAAGGCGACGAATGTGTCGGGGGAGAGAGAAGCACCTTGTTGGCGAAAAGCCTGACAATATGAACGAGCTTGAGCTGTAGACGAGAAGCTGGTCTACTTCAGCACATACCAGAGAAGTGTGGCAACGATTGCTCCGACGAGCAGGAAGTCTCGGAAGATCATGAGAAATGCTAACTGCACAACTCGCAATGGGGAGTAAGAGTACACCACCGACCAGGCAATCGCAGACACTGGATAGTGATATCGGAAACCGCAGACCTTCATCCATATGCCAATAACGCACCGACAAGACACCCTGCTATGAGGATGAGTATTGCAGGGTCGTCTCTCGCCCAAGTGTTTTTGGTCTCTGCGGGAACCCATGAATTATGTTTTCAACAATCAAGATGCATGCATACGTTTGTGAAAGTACACATTCCGGTAGCTAACAGCTATCGTAAATATATTGTGCTCACAGGAGCAAGAATACAACTGCTTACACTCTCTTTGGTGCAAGACATAGATACGTCAGCTGCCACGCCGCCAGTTCAAAGTCCTACTTTCCCAAGGGTCATGATAATTCGCGCCTGAGGCTGAGCATCGTGCCCGAAGCATACCATTTGATGGAACCGTAGTAGACGTTTGAAGATGATAGGGATTCGGGTCGACAGTGAAGTCGGCCCGCCACCATTGTGTGGTAAGGTGGGAGAGGAAAGGGGAAGCACAGACATCTCTGCACGAATCCCCGGGCGACGAAAGAGAGGATGAGATGAAGACAATTTGGAACGTCTGCTGCGCCGTCCTGCAGCGGTCAAGTTGCACAGCGACAAGAACCAGACCAGGACTTGCTTCATTGGGCCGTAAGGCGGCTGGGAGCGTGTCCTCGGAGTAATCCGAATAGTTGAATCGGAGCCGCGGAGAACGCCGACCAAACAACCTCGTCTCTCGACGGCGCTTGGACTGACGTTCACCATCAAATCCACGACGGCGGCAGCATGGAGGAAGACACTGAAGTCCTCGACTGGGGCCATGAAGACGACGAACAGACTGCTCAACGGTCGTCCGGCGACGGTCGCGACAACTGGCGCGACCGTGAGGACGCTGAAGACGCGGTCTCGCTCGGTGGCGACGAGGACGACATGCAGAATTTCTACGCCTACCAGCTGAACGAGCAGGACGCCTCAAAGGGCCAAGCGTCGACTCTGAAATCGTCATCGACCGCACAAGCTCAAATACAACCTAGCAAGCGCGACCTTCAACGCGAGGCGTCTAGTGGCTCTGTCTCGCAGAAGCCACCTGCCTCGCAATCGCAGGAGTCCGATTCTACACAGCTAGGACGCTCTCAATCTTTTGGGAAATTAACCCACGCCCTTCCTCCCAAGCCCGTTGTCTCTGTTGATCCTTACATACATCCCTCGCCAGCGACGACGAGCACTCTTGCGAGCTCAATGGTTCAGCGCGAGCGCAGAACCAATGGCTTCAAGTCAGCTTCAGCAGGCAACGGTGGTGATCTCCCCGCCGACTGGGAGATTAGGGTTCCTAGGAGTGGTGGCTCCGAGCACTACTACTACAATGTCAAAACGCACGAGTCGACGTGGACTCGTCCGGGACCGGTGAGCGGCAAATCGTCTCCCTCGAAGGATATAGAGAGCGGCAGTATGCAGGCTAGAGACGGTAGATCACCAGCTCGCAGCGGGACCAGCAACAAAGGGCGCGCTTCTTCCTCGGAAAGGCGCGCCATAGCAGAGTCTGCACGTAATGAAGCGAAGCGTAAGGTCTCTCCTGGAGGAGAGCTTTCATATGAAGATCGCCACTACCGCCCCGGAGGTGCTGCAGGGCCAGAGGAACGTGGTGGTTCTGTACAGCCACTTTTCGCTGACGCATCGCATGCTGCCCCGCGACCCCCGTCACCGAAGAACTTCAACGATCGTCGCCGTTCGCGATCCCCTTCACCACCTGTACGACGCGAGCATGAATTGCAAGATCGACCTGCCCGTCCACACAGAGAACCAACACCCACTAGATCACCAATTGACAATGGTATGTGGAGAGAGGGCGCAAGAGCTGCCCGCGAGCACCCTCAGTCACGGCAAGCAAACGTTCCTGAACGCGGCTGGGGTGCTAGGACATCCATGGTTCCAGACGCTGCGCCACTACCGCCACGCGAAGAGCGCCCTCGCGGTCGGCAGCCACGCAGTAATTTCGACTTGCCTTCGCAACACGCGCCCCTGTCGAAGGAACAAAGCATTCGCCACGATGTGCATGAGTGGCCGGCTTCCAGTACGTTATTAGCCTCCCATTGTCTCGTATGCCGCGTTCGTGCTTCTCCCGAGGTGGAGGATGTGTCCGTGCTGGCTGTCTGGGGAAGCCTCGGGAGTCGAATCTCGCTGCCCCTCCCTCTCTTGTTCGGCCTCTTCTCGTTGTCAACACAAGGACGCTTACTAAGGATCCTCTTCCCCCATGTCTTCTTCCTATGTATCCTTCTTTCATCATGTAGGAAATAGGTCGCCGCCTCCTCACCTCAGCGAACCGGTACCTGCCGTTCCACAACGCTTCTCACAAGGTCCACCTCCTGGAAATCTGCAGCTGTCTGTGTCTCTACCTCCGCCCCCGGTGACGCGACACTCGAGTCGGTTCGACAGGCCTCAAATGACATCGGGCCTTCCACCAGCTCGAGGCCCGCCGCGCGACTATGACGACTATGTACTTGCTGACTCGATTCCTCAAAGGAGGGCACGCGAATTTGAATCTGCAGATGTACATATCGAGTCTGACTCCAAACGGCGTCGCACAGACACGGAGCACTCTCCTCGCCGATCTCTGCCACCCGTGTCCTTGCCACAGCGTCCGCCTGCAGCCCCTTTCCCTTCGCATCTCGATGAAGGCGATCAGTCACGTACGTTGTTTTTCGCCCTGGACTGCACCGCTCCTCACTCCATAATGGATCACCTTGTTCGGCGTTCTCTTGCATCCCACAGGTCTGCGTAGACGTCAGCCTCTCCCACCACAGAGCGCTCGTTTTCGTGAAGCTGCTACAGGCATGCCCCCGGCTCCTAGGCCGTTGCCGCCTGCATCTCTACCCACCAATCCTGCTCGAGCGGGGATACCAGAGCATCTTTTTCGTCCTCCCCACGATGATATCGAAGCTGCGCGACCTACTAACATGCCTAGCGAATTGCCGTCTGCACCTCGTAGGCATGGGCCGCCGTCTTCGGAACGGTCACTGCAGACTTGGGGATCATCCGCGACTTCGGGCCGGCCTGGTAGCAGGATCGACAACGCCCTTCCAACGCTTGTGCATAGCAAAGCTTATGCCATTCAGGGTGAGCGGGACACATCGGAGGTTGATCGCCTGCCGTATAGGATGTCCACTCACCAAATAAACGATGGGCCTGCAAGAGCTAATGCAGGCATGTATGCTGACCGAATAAGCTCAGAGTCGCAGATAGATATGCCTCCGAGAGGGCCGAGAGCTATGGCAAGCAGAGGCAGTTCTCATGCGTCATACACGCCTCCTGTAACCTCGCCTCTCGTTTCTCCGGGTGCGTCTCACGCCAGCCTACGACCTATGCATCAGCCGGAGCCGCATCCGTTGCCAGCAAGGCCAAGGGAGCGACAGCCACCGCATCAGCATATCAACGAGGGGTGGGGAGAGCGTCGTGACTGGCAAGACGCGCCTCCGGCATATTCGCAGAGTGCAGTCCAGGATGTAGGCGTACCCCCTCGAAGGTTCGGTAATGGCCGCAACACATCGTACGATCGAGTACCCGACAGGCAGGAGAGACTGTTACATGACGCCTTCGAAGCGAAGCAGCAGGTTACTATGATTTGATCCCTTCGTTGCATCTATCGTTCTCATACCGACTCCACCGCTCATCCAGACTGTGATGCACGAACCTCCTCCTCGATACACGCATCGCCCTGCTGAAGGTCCTGTTCAACCGCCGCTTCCCGTCTCGGGTACCAATAATATTCCCATTGGCAATAGGAGGCCGACGTCCATGACCGAACCGCCAGCAGGTCGCGCCTCAGAGGATCGCCCTACAATGTCTGGCAATATCCCAATGGATGGCAACCGCATGCATGGCTCTTCAGAAGCGCAGGATAGTTATGCTAGGATGGTACGTCCTTCGCCCTCGGTTGTGATCGACTGCTGACTGGTGGTTTCAGGCTCCGAAGTATGTGGATGCTCCATTGCCGGTGACAGCTCACCGCTCTGTTGGGTTGACTTCGGAGAATAATGCAGCTGGGCGAAGCCGTTCGGGGCCGAATGCGAATACTCTTCCGCACGAGATCATGGTGCGATTTTTGCCCGCGAAAGCATGAATTGACGTGCTCATTATCTTATTCACAGACCTCAGACCGCAGGCTTTCGCAACACATGAATGAATACCCGAAAACGTCTGGTTCTTCGCATCCACATCAGCAGACGCACTATGAGAGGAGGGACCGTTCAAACCGTCCGGTATGTCTCCCTGCTTATCTATTTTGTTATCACATTAATGTGCAAGTATGTAAGACGCGCTTCGGCCCTGAGCAGGCGAAACAACCCACTTCTGACTCTGTTCCGTCCGAGCCTCGGATTTGGATCACGCGGGAAGAGTCGCAACGTTTTGAGAGCCGCGCACGAGAGCAGCAGCCCGTGGAAGAGCCCACGAGACGAGATGAACCTCGTCCTTCTAGAACCGCAACTCTTCCCTGGTATCCGCAGGGCCACGAAAATCCGACTACGGGAGCAGATCTACCGACCAGGGGCGATCGCATGCAGCGCAGCGAAGGGAATGCTGGGCTACCAGTCGCCGACGCGACGCGGCCGACACATGAGTCGGATTTTGCGTCGGAACGTGGAAGGGGTGGTGGTTCTAGTGGGGACCAACGTCGTAGCTCGTTTAGTCTCGAAAATCGCATCAGCACACACTATGAAGGACAGCTGTCGGAGGGAAGATATCGAACCAGCCAAGCCCTGCCTTCATCGTTGCCCGCTCGGCCAATTGCACCCGCCACGCACGTTCAGGCGCAGCCGCCTCCTTATCGCGACGGCGGAGATCGTCCTCAATATCGCGAGGAGGGTGGAGCGTCTTGGGAGCATTCCGATTCGAATGCTGTCAGGAATCCCTCTCCCTCCAATGGTGCACGAGTGCACCCCGACCGGGCCCGCTATCTGCAAACCGTCACGAACCCTGTGCCGGAACCGGATGAAGATGCATCGATGAAGACATCCAAACCAGTACGGATCCGTCGTCCCCCTCCTATGTCTACAAAACAACATCAGGAGGATTACGGCCCATCACGGTCGAGCAGGGATTCGAGGGCAAACTATCGTGGTACGCCGGCAGCTGTTATGGAGCCAGAATCTTCAGATGCGCGGCCGGAAATAAGGCGTGGTGGGTCGTTATTAGATCGACTGTCCCTTGACGCGCCGATGCCAGCTGCTCCAGCGGGCGCCCCTCCTCAATCACTGCGAGACAGGGTGGACCTCTATTCGCAGGGGACGAGCGAGGGTTCAGGAAATATGCATACTGACTCTCCCATGGACGCTGAGTACGACGGTGGGGGTCATTCCAGTGAATTCACTTTCCGAGGAATGAGGGGTGGCAAAAGGCGTGGAAGGCGAGGCAGGAGAGGAGGGATGCCCATGTGAAGGTTGAGGTTGCTAATATTGTGCGGACGAGATGCCTACCAATTCCTTTGTCGGATAAATTTCTGTCATACAGTGCAATCTTGAGGTTAGCAGAGTCGAGAATATGATTCAATAATGTCCGCGATGCATGGGAGCGTCCTCACTCCTGGTGATGCCGACATCAGGTCTATTGATTCCCTCCGCCGGGGCATGCTTCGACAACAAGGGGGCACCACTCCTAAGCATATGCATCAGGCGGCATTGGAGATGCGGATTATCATCTAGCGGTCAACTTAGAGCCTGCTGGAATTGAATCCGACGGACGTCCTCGAGATGAACGGTCGCCGTACGAGCCTCTCTCTCTTTCTTCCCACTATCTCTGCTAACTGACAATTCGTCTCTGCGGGACATTGCCGCATTCATCAACTCATATATCTCACCTTCGAGGGTGACTATGATCAAGCTGGCTAGGACGACTTCACCAGGCGCGTCACAGTGCGCCGCAGTTGCCTGTGCGGCTCGAGTTCTCGCTGCGTCAGGGCGTACGTACATCGAAGCTGACCAAGATATCGATCTGAGGATGCAGAGGCAGAGAGTGAGGACAATAGCAGTGACGATATACTCACTCGAAGCAACGTGCATAAATGTGGACTGCTGATGTGAGTGTTAGGAGTGTCACGATGTAGCTCGCCTACTGTACATGAGTCTTTTTCGAGATCCTTGAACTGCTTGATTTTGTACATCATAAGGCGCTCGCGTCACACTGGGAGTAGTGAGGAAGGATACAGTGACCCAATATTTTGAACTTGAGCATGCTCGTCCTACCGAAACCCGAACACTACGCTACAGTTGCCCGGAGTTAATAAGAGTCCACGACTATTCAAAGCTTCGCAAGCCTCATCGTTCAGAGGCTTCAAACATAGCAGCGATGGCTTCCCAGCTCCGCAAACCGAACGCAACTGACGTGAGATATCCGACACAGTCCCAGGGAGAGCGGAAACAGGACATAATTTGGATAAAGAGTGACCGTGGCCTGACTCCGGTTTTCGTAGGATGCGCAGTGATGAGTAATCAGAAATATGTATGAAAAGCCGGTCAGACCGTACTGTTTGCGTTGCATCCTCTCTTGAAAATGTACTATGTATGCTAGGCAAATTAAATGAGCTCATATCGCATTAGGCATGCATTAGAATGCTCACCAGGGTACTACGACCATCCTGGCACCGAGACACCCATGTATTTGGGGAGTTCCTGCCATATTCGCTTGCGACAATCGACGTCTTTCTCTTTCATCCGATAAATGCATCCACCGCACATAGGGAATACGCCCCCCTTCTCCTTTATCATTGATTCCCATGAACTCAGCATACTGAATCGAGTGTCTTCTCCATATTGCAGGATGCGTTCATGTATGAATGTTGAAAAAGCCGCGTAATTTGAGCACTTGCAGCTTTGCCTGACAGACGCAGGATCGTAGCTAACATCATCACGGGCTCGTCGAGATCCTATAAGCAGATTCGCTTTTCCATCGATGCACCGGATGAGGTCATCTTCATCTAAGCGCTCGGTAGTTCCATCTGCTCGACGGATACCCTTCAGTAATAGCTCGGTAGGCAGCTGGCAGCAGCTGTACAAAGCGGTTGGGAGCATTGACACCTCGCGGGTAAGTCGCGTCAGATTAACCGCCGCTATCGCATCCGCCGGTTCGAGATGAAAAATCGGACGTGACCCCGGTTCCATTGACTTGCTCCAGACATCGAAGCTGTCGGTGAAGTAGCTCTTCAGACAAGTGACAGCGTCTTTGAGGAGATCCTTGAATTGATATTTGTGTGAAAGACGGATGACAGCAGCGAGAGCGGTAAACTTGATCTCAGCCGGTCCAAAGCGCCTGAGAGGTGCAGGAAACGACAGTTGACAGTTAGGGGGGTTTGAAACGAAAGCACCATTATTAAAAACGTACCTTCCACCCAGCGATAGTTCCCGAAGGAGATAGCGCAAATCCTCAGGTGAATCGTGAAGCTCGACCATGGGACAACCCTCCAGCATGCTGGTCTCTTCTTGCTGCGGCATAGAAAGCATGTCGCGGAAGACCTCGGAGTGCTGGGCGAGCAAGCCGCGGAAGACACGGAATGCGACGCCCTGAGCGATGAGGACGATGCTTCCATCCTCGTACCAGAACTCTTCATCGCGGACCTCGATCTGATCAGACAGCATTTCGTCGCTGCAATCTGACAATGCCGTCGAATGTCAGAATTCTCAAAGCCACACGGTTCACTTTTGGGCAACAAGTTCGAGGCACATGCCTTTTGTCTGCAAAGCTATCGGCGATGGCTCGACTTTCCGCGTCAATCCAGACGTTCCTTGAGATCGTGCCGCTACCGACTATAAAGCTGATCGCTGTGTGAGTTGCAAATGGCGCTCTCACCTCATGCCCGTAACGCCGTGACTTACAGCGGTACTGATTGGACACTCAACTGCCACGCGAAATAATGCCGCGGCGCACACACGCTAACAACCAGAGTATCCTCATCCGTGCGCAGAAAGATCAGGATCAGGATGGCCCACGAACTGCAGGCTCAAGACACAACATCTCCAGTTTGCAGCACCACTAAACTCCAGAGTGTACATATAGCAAGAGCGGCACCCAGTCGAGATGTATAAACCATGATGAGTCTGTTGAACACGGTACTGTCGGAGTCGGGGTTGCTTTATGAGATATATGTGACGAGCAAATGCACCAAAGGCAACACGTTGCAACCAAAGTCACTTACAGTCGTCAGACGACATTATCACAGTCACGGGTATTCGATATCCATCGGCAATTTCAAAATGTGATGATTGAATACGATGGAGCACAAGACCGAGCTATTCGTAAGGGGTACGCTGAACCCTCCTCGTGTAACAGACACTTGATCACTCGTCGGATATATGGAAGATACCTGTTACGCATAGCACAAAAGTCAGCCACGCTGCAGTAGTCCATATCGAAGACAAGAGAGGATCAGAGAAGCCGATGTTTTCATTTCCCTTCCATACAGTACTCCCATCGTGTCCGGTCAGCATGCACCAAGACGGCACACGCAGACACGCTCCCCACACTTGCAGAACAAAGCAGGAAGGGACAGAACGGGATGTACGGGAGGACATTCAAAGAATGGATGAACTTGGTTTCGTCTTGTGGTGATGCTTCAATGGAACACTCACCTACTGATTGAAATTTGCTACACATGCGATGTTTACTTACGGCGCGTCGGCACCATGCCTATAAATGAAGACGAATGAGTACTTGCATCGATGGAAACGAAGGCAGAACGGAGAATCAGGATTGAGAGTTTTTGGTATATTCGGTGTCCACAATGGGGAAACCCTCCCCTTCGGAAGCAGAACTGAATAGATTGGTTCATCATACGCGCAGAGCAGAGAAGACAGAGTAGCACACGCAATGATAGAAGAGATACTCACCTCACATAGCGTACAGAGTGTAAAATTTGAACAACGCGGAGCACCGCGAGAATAGACAAAGAGCAAGCGACAGACTCAGAAGGCTGAATGGCTAAAACTGTACAGCTGTATTGAGACTCAGACCAGCTCCGACCAGAATGGTTGTCTCTGAAAATGGGTCGGAGCCTGTCGGTGCTGGAATCACGACGCTGGCACGGATTTTTTTCTCCTCGGAGAGTCGACTTTCGCTTCCATGGTGTGCTGAAATTACTATCCGAGGAACGCTAGACCCTCTATAGGTGAGCTTTGTGCTCCTTACGCTGGTCTTGTTGCTATGAAGATTGTTTATCCATAACATTTGAGCTGGCGATCCCTGAGCCGTACTCATTCACATGCATCACCAACGGAGCATTCTCTTTATTTGCGAACTTTCACTTTTTTGTGACGGTCATTTGCGATTTAAGTCATCTTCTAACGCATCCTCTTCTTCATAGGGGGTTTTCAAAACTTTTTTCGCATGGCGTTCGGACTCGTGCACGAATAGGGTATGTTGTCGCAAAATGCGAACCTCTCCCATGACGAGATCTGTTAGCGGGCGACGAACATGCATCCGACGATGTCCTTTACTAGCATACAGCATTCCCTGAGGATCCAGAAATTTATGTCCTCGGTCAAGGATCTGGTTTGGTCGTCGTAGATCAGGATTCAGGAGGACTTGCAGTTGTTACAGTTCAGGTGAGTCTACGATTCCTCCTGCTATTCCCCCATCTTTCCGATGCTGCCCATGATTTCAATATCAATATACAAGCATATGTCCGACTCCCCCATGGTGGACAACGTTATGTTCTCTGAGGCTCCATCTTGATACTGCTTCCGTATGATCCCTTCGCTCAGCACTGACAGGCATCCTTCACAGCCTCCATTGATGCGTTAGTGTATTACACAGCCTTCCTATATTGTTTCATGATGTATTGTATCATGTCGAGGTCGTGTCTCAGGAAATATATTCTGCACTTCGCACAAATTCCTGTTGTGATCACACGACAAGCAAATATATGAGCCTGCCCATCCGCAAAGCCTGCTCACGGTATTACATGCTCGTCAGCGACGAACGTTGGCGACATTGTTACTGTTGTCATTGTCGTCGAGTGCGAGGGAGATCCTGTGAAACGCGGATAGCCGCTCTTCGCCGCTTGTCCCACACCGCCACCAACGCTTCCATTATTTCATCATCCTCTGATGCCCGTCACCATTTAAATATCCAGAATATAGTATTCCATTCGACTTTTTGCTTTGATTGGCCATCATGACTGCTACGATGACGCCCCCGCTCTACGATATGCAAAGCCTGGCGCTGGGCATTCCCACTCATCAAGCTCATCACAAGGATCCTTCTACCACCAATTCTGACTTACCTTCATACATTAGCAGCGTTTCCGACTCTTGCTATTCGTTTCCGGATGCTCCCGATGCAGTCTGGCACGAGAAGAACAGCACGTCCGGGTCGGACGACGAGACGCATAGAGATGGAGACGACGAGACTTCCGTAGGCATCGGGTTACTGCCGGAAGAGGTCTATGAGTGTACGATGAACAGCTGGAGGGCTGTCATTCATAAAAGAGTGCGACAGAACGTCGCATGGGAGTCGGAGGTGTTGGCGAAGATGCAGGTGAGTATGCAACCTCAACGTTATATTGGGCTATCCCCAGTGCTCTTATGCATTCTTGGCTCAATGACCCAACGGTATCGGTTCGCCTGGTTATGAACTGCCCACGTTCTTGTTCTCGTTCTGTTTGAAATACGTAATGTCAGGGTCATTATGTCCTCAACTCGCCACCCACATGAAATGTCATGTAGATTGAGGTGCGATTTGCGAACTGCCGTCTCTGTCTCCGTCAATGTTTGTCCATGAATGACGCCCTTAAATCATCCAGAGAGAATATATATGCTGATACTGTTTTTTGCGCAGGCCTACGTCCGTCGCCCGATCCTCGACGTGTATTTCGTGTACACGTCCTCCCTCGGAACGCATACCTTCTTCATGATAACCCTGCCCGCTTTTGTCTTCTTCGGGCACGGAGACACTGGTCGTGGGTATGTCTAGCTCGTGCGCGTAATCCACAGGATGTGCTGATCTTTCGCCTCCTACGGGCATGAATGCCGCCGACAGACTGCTCATGGTCCTCGCGCTGGGAGTCTATGTGGCCTCATTCGTTAAGGACTCAGTCTGCTCTCCGAGACCGTTCGCTCCGCCTATCACGAGACTGAGTAAGTAGCGTTGCGTTTACAGCCCCAAGAGTCCGCTCAAGTCGCTCTGAAGCCATCGGTAACCATCATCTCGAGTATGGATTCCCATCGACACATTCCACGAACAGCGTCTCGATTGCGCTGTTCTTCTATTCGCTCCTCCAGCAGGCCTACGTTACCCCGGCATCCTCTCGCCTCCCCACGTTCAACATCATGTACAACTCCACATATTCGGCATTGGAACATACATCTCCCACGCCCGGCGCAGACACGATGGTATCTGATACCGCATACCGCGTCTTGTCTTGCGTACTTCTGTTCTACGTATTCTCGATCGTGTATGGCCGGCTGTATACAGGCATGCACTCATTCACGGATTGCGCGGTCGGTGTGATACTCGGAACCGGCATCTGGGCATTCAATCTAGTTTTCAGCGGATGGCTGCATGTGTGGATCAGGGATTCTGGCTGGATCGGTGGGCACATTGACTCTCATAATTCGAGGTAGTTCTAAATCTGTTCATTCCTGCAGTACCTGCAGTGACGATTCCGCTCTGCCTGCTGTCCGTTCACTGGCATCCGCAGCCGGTAGACGACTGCCCATGCTTCGAGGATGCGATCGCGTTCATCTCGGTCGTGCTGGGCGAAATTCTGTCGCGATGGTATATGCTGCACAACGGCTACGGAGATGAGTACTTCGTACACGTCATGCCTGGAAGTCCGTGGGGCAGCTGGCTCGACACGCTCACCTGGTGGTCCGTCGCTGTCGTCAAGATGACTCTTGGTGAGTCGCCCGCCGTGCCCCTAAAGCATCCCACGCTAATCATATCACCCCAAGGCATCCTGATTATTTTCATGTGGCGCATCTTCGCAAAGAACGTGTCGCACTTTGTGCTACCGCCCCTCTTCCGGCTGCTCTCGCACTCGTTCACGCTCCCGCACCGGCGATTCTACACGCCTGCGACAGACTACAAGAACGTACCGCCCGAGAAGGGGCTGCGCCCGATCCCATCCGTGATCGACCTTCCGGGCATGATTGAGATGGAGACGGAAGGTGGCGGCGCGAGCGGCGTGCGTGGCCTGCGATACGGCAATATCTACGGTGAGCGCAGCATTAAGCTCAGAGGCGGCAAGGGCCGCCAGACGGGCTTGTCTGTATCTACGACTATGGAAAAGGAGAAATATCCGGTTGACCTGGACGAGGAGAACGGTGAAAAGCAGGACATCGTCAAGCATTACGATGCAGACGGTAGGTGTCGCGCACATGTCACTCGTGGAGGTTCATGCTGACGGTCGATCTTCGTCTGCAGTGCTGACCAAGGTCATTGTGTACTGTGGTATCGGCATGCTTGCTTGTGGGTTCATTCCGGTCATGTTTGAGGTGCTGGGCTGGGGCGTGCGAGTGAGCTGAGCGAGCACAGAGAGGACCGGGCGTGTATATTCAAACTATCTATTGACTCGCTGAGGCCGGATGGAAGTAATCTATCGTGTATTCTTATACGTATCTCAGCCTATCGTTCGTAATGACCACTTTCTCTGTACTCAAATTAATATAGTCCCTTCTGCAGAACAATTGCAGTTTATTGAAGCTCTGATGTTTTAGAAAACACGACGAAAGATCGTGGGCACAGCAAGACTCCCGCTGACATAGTTTACACCTGCATTTCTTCTAAGCAGTATATACACAGTATTGATGTCATAGTACTATTCAGGACGTGACGACGCCAGGCTTTCAAGCAGATTACACGGCTCATATATAAGGGCGAACGAACGAAACTTGACAGTAAAGCAGAGAGGGACACAACGACGAGTAACAGGGAACGAGACAGGGATGCGAGAATGAATGACCGTATCAGGGATGAAATAGCTGAGGAGGGGTTGGGGTTGGTTTGATGATGTGGGCGATGCCAGAGAGGAGGAGGGGTTAGATAGCAAGAGAAGGGGAAAGAGGAACGAGGAAATAAAGGCAGGAGTAAGGGAGTGAAGGTAGGGAGAGCAACAGAGACTGCGCCACTACGAGCGCGGCGCAGATCCTGTCCGTAATGTCCAAGAAGCGTTTTTCTCATTTCGGCATTCACCTCGATTCGTCCGCGCGTCTCCTCCATCGTGACCCCTTGGCTTCGACTGCCATCTCCCCTCGCCAATGCAGAGATCAGTGATTCCAGAAACTCGACTTTTACTTCTTCGAGATGCTCAGACTGCGCATCGACTCCTCGAGGATATCGGTGATGTTGCACTTTTTCTCGGGGCCAGAAGACGACTTCTCCAAATGCTGCTGCATCTGCATCTGCATCCTCGCTGCCGATGCCGACGGCCGTGGCTCGACGTCCACAACGCGCAGCACCGCACTGCCCTCCATGACGCGCCTGACCTTGTCCGCATCCAACTCGGGCATGCGCTTCCCGCCGGCAGGGCGTGCCGCAAACGCATCCCAAAATGCTGAGCCCAGCTTCTGCATGAGCGTCTGTGACGCAACGCTTGCAAGCATCGCCTGCTGTGGCGTCGGCAACGGCGTGCTCTTGTTAGTGATCGAAGCGAGAGGCGAGGTGGACGCTGGGGGATAGGAGGTCGCAGCCGGCTTGCCGGAGAGTAATGTGGAGAGCGATGCAGGTTGCTTCGTGAAAAAGTGTGGCCGCAGGCTGCCCGCGAGCCCGCTCGGGCTGGGGCTTGAGTTCGGGCTCGACGAGGAAGAGGAAGAGCCCGACGATGAGCTCGCACTCGACTGCTGTTGCTCGTGCGACGCATGTTGGCGGCGGTAGTGTTGCTGTGCCGCCATGTTCCGCCACAACTGCATCCGGTACCTAAGCACATACGGCTACGTTAGCGTTGTGGCATCCGAAATTTCCATAAACGGATACAGACGGGTCGAGCGCCTTCATCGTGAACGGGTTCATATCCATGAAGCTCTCCAACGCGCCGTACTGCTGCTGCACCTCCTTGCTCTTGTCCGTACTTGGCCATGCAGCGTTGAGCGTTGGGTTGATGTTCTCCTGAAGTGCAGGGCTCCGCCGGCCCGTCCTCGCATTCGCCACCGGCTTCCCCGAGAGCACACTGGTCCACTCGGGAACAAGCGTCGTATGCACGGGTGTGAACCCGCCATAACCTCCAAGGCCGGCGCTCGACGCGCCACCCCAGAAGCCCCGCGCGCCCAATCGGGGCGATGTCGGCAGGTCCTTCTGTGTGTTGGGTGTGAGCAGCGGGCTCTTCGGTGGCGCGGGTGCGCTTGCGTTCGCCGACGGTCCAGATGCGAGCACAGATGCAGGGATCGCGGGCAGCGGAGCAGGAGGTGGAAGGATAGGTGTGTCTGCGCGGCCAGCGCCCTCGAGGAGCGCCCTCTTCAGCGATGTAATCTCCTGTCGCAACGCCACGTTCTCTGATTTGGTGCTCCCGAGCTCAGTGCGGATCGCATCAATGAGCCTGTCGCGCTCTGCGATGTCACCCTCGAGCGTCGTGATGTACTCTGTTAGTAATAATCAGCAAGCAGCGCACACCGGATATTCTCGATACACACCCTTTCTCCTCACCCGGAAATTCCGTGCACTGATCTTGTTCCGCAATTGTCTCTTCTCCTTGCTCGTCATCTTCTTGTACTCCTCAGGACTCGGGCGCCAGTCATCTGGCTCGGTTGATGTCGTTGACAGATGGTTGGATGGCCTATTCTCCTTCTTCTCGCTCCCCGCGCGCTTGATTACCCCACCGGACTGGATCGTTCCCTTCCGGTTCGCCTTGCCTCGGCCACCGACCTTGATTGGAGCAATGGAAAAGCCTTGCTCCCCATCTTTGTCAGGGCTAAGCGCCTCGTCATGCTCGTCCTCGTCCTCTTCATGCTCCTCGTCCTCGTCCGCGTCTCCTGCCTCGCTCACGGCATTAGACGGCGACGGGGACGTCACGAGCTGGGGGTCTATGCTCGAGGGAGTATCAGCCATGGAGGACAAACCGCCCGAACCAGAACCCGAATCTGGGCTGCTCAGCTGCGTCGCAGCGCTTGCAAAAGCGCCCAGAAAGTCGAAGCCTGGTGCAGCGAGAGGGGCGGGGATGTCCAGCTTGGAAAAGTCGTCTAGCGAGAAACCAAAGAAAGAATCCTCGTTTACATTCTGGTTCATGACACTGTCGGATTCAAAGAGATTGGGGGGAGTCGGAGGAAGGTTGGAGAACGACTCGGAGGGCGACGAGTCGGAGCGGGGGGAGGAGCCGCCTGAACTCGGGCCACCGAGGAGATCCATGTTAAAGAAGTCCTCGAAGGAAGAATTCAATGAAAAACCGGAGGGTAGGGGATTGTCGACGAGCATGGTGGGCTGCGGATGGTGGTAGTTGTGGAGAGAGTGAGCTCGACGCCTGCGAGGCTGTAATCATTTGCTTACGTAATCAACATTCCTTTTGGGGCCATTGACTGCTGCTTAAAGAGAAAGCGACAGAACTTAGCAGAAAATGGATCAGGTAAGTCTGCCTTTTCTACTTGAACTTGAACAAACACTGCCTCCGAAACATCTTGGAAAGCAAGACAAGACGAATACATTCATGAACGTTGGGAAAAAAGGGAGTTACGAGACGGTGCCACGACTCGTTGTGCAGGGGCGCCTCGCCATGGACGCGTGTGCGGCGCCGCAGTCGGCACGGCATGCGCATCCAGGTTGAGGGCCTCCGTAGTTGCAAGTACAACACTCTGAAGGACCACTTACTGTGGTGGCCGAGTGTATTCATATTGATGCAAGAGATCAAATGGGCGTGGACAGAATAGAATTGGTCCATTAAGCTACAAGAGACCGTGGATGCCATCCTGACCAATCAAGCGGTGCATTGTGAGGTATCGAAGATGAATGTTGCGAGCGGTATTAGAAAAACAATGATACAAGATGGATCAGATTCGGACTAGCAAAGCACAAAATACGGAAGAGTCCGTACGACATAGTCGGAGCGTTGTCACAATGTATCGCTACAGATGGTCAGGAGTAAATAGAACAAGAAAAAAACGTGCAGTCGTTTAAAGTTATGTCGTAACGTGCGGAGACAGAGCTCTAATCGCATTCGGACGGGCAACGAATCAAGTGCGAACAGACACTTCCACGGGTTTCGACTTCGCTTTGCTAGTGATAGTGTCGCTGCTCATATCAGAGCCTCTGCTATCTCTCCTTTCGCGGTACTCCAGGTCGAACGACGGCTTCGGCGCATTTCCGAATGGAGATGCCGCAGACAGCACGCTCACGGGGGAAAAGATGCCCGCGCGGCCCTTGTTCCTCCTGGTCGCCGAAATGTTAAGCTTCGTCAGCCACGAGCCCGCAGGTCCATCGCGCTCTGCAAGCGCGCCAAGCGTCGAGCTTGACCACCGAGAGCGCAGGGAGGGCGCCGACGCGAAGCTCAGCGACTCAGTGGGAGTGTCCGGGAACGTCTGCGCAGTCAAGTCCGCCTCGGTGTTGCTGGCACCGGCGGGCTTGCTGCCATCAACGTGTGTGACATCCACATCAAAGGAGAACGCAGACGAGGGCGAGACCGGGAGCGTACTCGGCATGTTCGCACTCATCGGCGTGATAGGGAAGACCTTGACGATCTCGGGCAGCACCAGCTCCACCTCGTCAGCGAGGTCCTCGACATCGGCAGGTATTGATGAGCGAGGCGGCGGACGTATGCTGGCTAATGGCTTCACAACATACGCGCTGCTGGGAGTCACAGGAACTGACACGGCCGGGCTGACACCACGCGTCGCGCTCAAACCAGTCCCCGCGAATCCATTACCCAGAGCAGCGCTCGCCAACTGAGCAAGCAGCTCCTCCGTCGCCGCCTCCATCGTCGACGTGGAACATCGTGTAATCTTGATCGGAGGTGGCGGTGGTGAACGGTCAGGGATCAGAAAAGACCTTCCGGATTGTGGGAATGTGGGGTCGAGTTGCGCGCTCGGCAGACACTGCGTTGTGGGACGCGAGATGGGAGGTATTATGGTGAAAGGCTTGCCGTTTCTGTTCCGTCTAGCGCGCCGGGGAGGTGGCATCAACGAGTCCGGGCGAGCGCGCGTGTCTTGAGGAAGGACCGAAGATGGAGGGAGAGGAGTCGAAAGCGTGACCACGTCGCTGATATCGCGTGCGAACCACTCCGCATCAGAATCGACGCCCTCCTCTTCCGAGGCATGGGACTCGTTCAGGTCCGGCGTTGATCGTGCGTACACAATCGAAGCCCGACGCGACTTGCACGTTGGCGCGCGGCACAGGTATGATTGCGATTCGTCGTCAGACGTCGGTGGGGTGGCGTGCGTTCGTCTGCGAGAACGGGAGCTGACGCTCGAGCTGCTGGATGCCGTGCTGGATGTCGCGCTGCTCGCCACAGATGGCGTCGGAGAACGCACACGCCAGCGAGGGACATCAGCGGGTGGGGAAGGACAGTCGAGTGAGATGCCGAGGCCGGAAAAGCGCACGTTGACGTCGTCGAGCGATGGCTCGCAATCACTGATGGGGTCTTCGTAGAGAGGCGGCGCGGGCGAGGGGTGGGGCGGCGCGCTCGAGGCGGGAAAGAAGTCATCGAATGTCAGGCCCTCGACGCCAGTGAGGACGACGCGACGCGATGTGCGCTTGCGTTCGGTGAAGGAGTTTTTGCTGCCGCTGCAGCATAGCCGGCTTGCGAAGGAGGTACTGGGACTCTGGGCGCCGCGGCGGCTGTGAATGGATGCAGTGTCGAAGGAGGAGATTGAAGAAAGAGATGTGCGGCCTTCGTCCACTTCTGAGAGATCAGGGAGGATGTCGAGCGGTTTCGCCTTCAAGGAGGCCGGCGCCGCCTCTGGCTTGCTGTTGCGGCGTGTGCGGCGCTTCAGCGCAGGTAGAAGCTTGTTGCTCGAGAACACTACAACACCCCATTCAGTCTCAAAGACATCGAAGAGAGCTGGACATGGCACTCACGAGAGGCCATCGTAAACGTCGTAAATATCTAGAAAAGCGCGAAAGAGTCAAATGCCGACGTCCAGCGACGCGGAGGGATGCAGCGAGCA